GAGACAGCACCCACCCCTTGAACAGAACAACAACTGTGATAAAATGCTGAAGGAGGCAGGCAGCACCAGAAATGAAACAAATGTATAACATACACCGTTGCCACAAATACTGACATTTCATTTCCAAGAGTAAGAACAGTGTTTGAAGGCTACTTATTTCAGAGAAGGGTGTAGAAAAGACATTTTCAAGTGGTTTCATGAGGGGAAAAAAAAACCAAAACAAAAAAAACAACAACAAAAAAAGAGATCACTATGGCCCTTTATGGGAAAATATTTTGAAAAACCTGCCATATGGTGGTATCTGACTGCAAGGCACTGTGATACCTCTTATGGATCACCTAAATATATAAATAATATTTAGGGAAATTCTAACAAGAGCAAGGTAACCAAGCTAACCTTTTTTTTTCAATTTGGGAGGTAATGGCCATCCCACAACATACTATGTTTTTAAAAAAAACATCTCTTTCAGAGTGGACCTGACTTCTTACAATTTGCAGCATTAAAAAAAAGCAAAGACTATTTTTCCAATGTTGCTCCAAGTACAGCCAAGTCAATCGCGTTCTGAGTAAAATACTCTTGCTGGATGTTCTTCAAAGCCCAACATTAATCCCTGTGAAAGTTATGAAGTGAAAAATTTGGCCCACGGATACTTTACAGCATGGTACTACATCATTTTAAGGAGAAAGAGTGTATTTAAAAAAAAAAAAACCACAAAAAACTTATACCTCTTATACCTCATGTCTTACAGCTCTAAAAGTGTAATAAACATATTTATAACAAACATTTATATTAAACATATTTCCTTTAGATACAGTTTTGCCTGTTCTTCTTTCCCAAAGACTACAATTGTATACACATTCCTTACAAACACTTCTTGACAGTAGACATGGACACGTACAGAATTGGCTGCTTTTTTTTTTTCCTCCAATGTTCAACCATTTTCCTGGCAACTCTCATTATTAGAAATTAATTAAAAGAAGATTCATCACCCAATAGAATAGCTGTAAAATACTCTTTTACACTATTCAAGACAGTATAATTTGGTTTGCGTTGGGCCCTTTAACCCATCATAAGACAGAGTGAGAAGAAGGGTAGGGATCAGGGAATATGCAGATAATATAAACCTACAGATATTCAGAAGTAAAAACATTGTTTATAATCAAGTATAGGTGCAATTCACTGAGATGAAAAATATAAAATAAAAAATAAATAAAAAGCTGAAGTGTTCTCAGCCAGGGAAACCACCAGGCCAAGAAAAGGTTAACATCTTTCTGCATACAACCTTTGTGCTTCATTTTTCTGTTTCCAGTCAAAAAGTTGCCCATTTTTTTTCAAACAGTATAGATTCTGGTTATCCATACTCCATACAGAAAATCGGCTGCTTGTGAACAGCAAGAAAGGTACTTTCCTGCATATTATCTGACAAAATGCAATTACATAATGTATACAGTTTCTTTCCCCATTTTACCAGTCATTTTTGAAAGACAGACTTCATACAAGACATGGAATACCTACGGTTTAATGCATTAAGGAAAAAATTGTGTTCCCAAGCATATAATTCATTTAAGGATATGTATTTCTTTCTTATTATGCCATATTATTGGCTTAAATTCAATCCACCATATAACTCTCAAATCCCATTTTAAAGTAGCTGAAATCAGGCCTGAGTGGCAGGAAAAGTGATCATTACTCAGCATTTGTAAAACACATGTAATAATGTATAGAAAAGACTTGGTGAGAACCAACCTGAGGATCCGAGAATACTTGCTGTATATTGTTGATTGGGCCATATGGAACCCCACTACCTTCAAAGAGCTGCAACCACTCTATCGTTGCTTTTTCTGAAAACCTACGAGCAAATAAGAAGCATATGGTTTCAACATCGTGCTTTCAGATTCTGAAAAATGTACAGCGTATCTCCTCCCTCTCTCACTGCTTCCATACTCTTCCCCACTGATTTCTTCCCAGGCAGTAAATAACATAACGAAAATGTACGACACGTGTTCTTCAGAAATGCAAAACCCAAAGACATAGAGGGAAGAACATAGCTGAACTGACTTCTATTTCTATCTGATCATCTGAAGCAATCCAGCAATGATGTAAAGCTAAATTTATCACCAGTTTCAAATAAGGATCAATGGGTTTCCTCCAGTCCTTAATTACACTAATGTGCTTCACATTTGTTTACTTTTATATGCATATTTAACAACTAAAAGATAGATACAATGTGGGTACGGTCTAACATATGACACTGCTCACCGAAAGCTGATGTAAAGTACCATAATGTTTTTCCTCCGTTATATCCAAAACATACATCAGGATTAACAACAACATTTTTTGGTCACATAAGAACATTGATTACATATTTATTTGTTCTCTGATTGTATAACCTACCCTAGGGACAGACAGTTCAGCATATATACACTGTGCCTACGCTGATGAACAGAGAGCTCCATGTATCACATACAAAGAGCTCAAGTTATTTCTTTCTAAGCGTTCAGTTCCATAACTGGTAGCACCACTCTACTTCCCCTCTTTTGCTAAATACTTTTTCTTTCCTTGTCTGACTGGCAGAGTTACATGTGTGAAAAAAAAAACCACTCCTGAAGCAATACCAGTCACAGAGAGATGGTATTTTCTGCAACCATCTCGGATTTTGAACCAAAGGTGAACTTATTTGGCGATTACATATTAAATTTCATGAAGGTAGATAACACACAGGTCTACCAGATTATTAGAAAAGTCTACTTCATGATACATACAACACCAATCAGAAATTAGTTGTGATTTAAAGACCTGATGAAAATTAAATTAATAGAAACCTTGATAAGAGACACTCAACTACTGGTATTCTGTAGCTTACCAGTTTAGAGTTCTCTAAGTGTTATTTGGAACAATGTCAGTAACATTCAGCTTTACTTTTAGCATGTTATACAAAAAAAACCCTTCCAAGTTCTGACAGAAAGTTAATAGAGACAAAGCCTAAAAGCAGAAAAACTCCTAAATCGATACAAAGTCAAACTTTGTAAACTTACTTTTGTACATGTGCAGGCATTGGCTGCAAAGTATTTCATGCTATTTTTATACTAAATTTAAAAAAATAGTGATGGTGACAAGTTACAGTAATATTAAGTATACAGCATAGGTATGGATCCAAGCTTAACACTTAATATCTTTCTCCCTGCGCAGGAACAACTCCCCCAAGCTTTGAGGGAATAAATCCCAATACTTGATGCATTTTTGCACTCTAGATGAATAGGAAAATGCACAAGTTTTGCGCTGTTCTTCCTCAGGTACAGAAGCTTTACTCCTGCTGAACACATGTGGGGTTAACAACATTAGTAGAAATGGAAGGAGCAATAAACCAGAACAATCAGAAATAAAAGGCTTTAAAAGTGCACAATGTATTATAAAATGAAGCATCATTCCTGAAGAAATGGAGCAAAATGAAGTATCACTTCTAAAGAAAACAGATATAAGAGTATTGCATACTTCAATTACACACTTCATCGAATATTAAAGTTATTTCATGGTAAAGATCTAGTCAGCCATAAAGATAATGCCACTCTTGGACACATATAGGGTCCATCTGATCTAGTACTCTATGGCTGACCATACCGAGAACCACGTACATTCCAGGAAACTGGGAAAAAAAGGTATCTATAGAGAGGCAGATAACCTTCCTTTCTCAGCGATGGCAGCCATTAGGAAGGCATGATTTTAATCTCAAAAGATAATTTGTATTTCCCTTCAGTACTCTCTGTTTGCCAACAATTCTCATAATCCGTATATTCTTGTTATTCACAGCCTTCTATTACTCAGGTTTGGGGATCAAACTACTGCACAGTGTAAATATGATTCACACGCAAAACTGTTTCCCTTCAGTTATGGGTGCTATTTAAACGAAACTGCTGTACTCTCCTAGCAACTGAGACACTTCTTTCCTGAGATGCTTCATAATTCATGGCCCACTAGCTCCCTTTTCAGAAATTAAAAGCCTTTTTTAGCTACTACTTTTTCCAACACCTCAACCTCTGCTACTATCTCATTTCTAACAAAAGGCAGCACCATCTACAAGAGGACTCAAACTCGGCATCATAACTATGGTGCTGAAGACCATCCAATAATAAATTATGGTAATTCTTAATATTTGTATCATCATTCCCTTGATCTATTAGTAATGAATAAGCCCTGCTGTGTCATGTTCCTTGTACTTCTAAGAAATAGTTTATAAATATCCTCCTGAGTTTAAAAAAGCAAACTACTTTTGGATTTAAAGGATAGTCTGAAATGAACTCTTTTCAATGGGAGTGTCAATTACATACATCTGCATAATTAGTATGCTACTTCCTGATGTCATTCTAAATCTAAATAATTTTCAAGACATACATTATTCTTCAGTAACATTATTATGGGTGACTCAATATACAGTGAAGTGAGTGAATGTTTTGCAAAATTTCTGCGGGCTGTATGAATTTCTGAAATTTTAGCTTCTGCTTAGATTTTCCCTTCCTCTGTAACAGACCAAAAAAAAAAAAAAAAAACCACAATTTTGTAGAAAACAATTGATGCTCTGTTTTAAAAAAAATACTTTTGAATGGACCCAACAATTGTCTTAGTCTTACTTATTAATTTATTTATCGATGGTTGGAGAGAATTCCTAAAAGCTTTGAACTCAGAGATGTAAAATCCCACATTCTATCACCCTCAAAGGAGACACACAGCATTTTCTCTTGAAATTGAAACTCTTGACCTAAATCTGATGTAGAATAGCTTCCTTTATTTGTGGTAAAGAGAGACTCTTGAGAGCATATTGTTAAGCAAACTGTTTAAAACCCAAATGGAACATCACCACTGTCAATAAAGGTCTATTATTCACATTTTGAGAGCAACAGCATGCAACTATTTGGTTCATTCAGTTGCGTGCTATATATTGAAATATCTGTTGTACAGCAGTAAGGGAGAAATACTGTTTCAAAAATCTGATAAAATATAAGGCATGGTTAAAAAAATGCCCAATTTTATCTCTCTGATGTCAGCTACACAAGATGCACAAACTTTGAATCTTTTTTTTTTTTTGAGGGGGGGTGCTAACCTATATGTATCATTCACTCCATCTAAATGTGATTTTTAATAGTGCTTACACAAGTAAGTACCATAAGCTTTCTTTACAGCAAAGGACTGATGTTTAGGTTACTAAGTATCAATTGATATAATTCTCAGCACTCCAAAATATCAAGCAAAGACCTTCAACAAAAACTTCCAAGAGAAGTAAAAACCTGAAAATCTTTCCTGAAAATAAAAATCTCTATCATCAGGAATTTACAAGGCCTAGCCAATCCTTTACTCCTCAATACTTGTTTGAAAACATTTTCTTATGCTTTGATATTGTCTTTTATAAATCCTGCTTAGTATATAATTTCTTTTTCTTAACTGAAAAATTTACAGTGTCATCTGCTGTCTTTCAGTGGGGAAAAAAGTAGTTTCTATATACATACATAAATAAACAGACTGAGGGAACACAAGGCTAAACAGTGGTCCATCTTCCAAACTTAAGCTAAGAAAAAAACATTCAAGACTGTACAGCATCTGAACTCCAAAGCATGACACTGCAAATGAATTTTTATCTGTCCATGGAACCTCAGTGATACTCAGTGACTGCAGGAGAGCTCAACCATGTGATTCACACACACCACAGCTTCACATCTTTCCAGATGAGTCCCTTTTCCCTCTGAAATGTTCTAGCTACTATAATCACATAAATGCTATTTAAATTATCTATGATTTATTTGTAGATTAATTTTAAATCCGTAGCTTAGCTTTCTACAATTATTACCAGTATTTTAGAAGTTCAAAAGAATTTACTTTTTATTGTACTCATCTGTGGTACGAAGCTTGAATGCAGGCTCTTTCTGAAAACACCTCTGAAAAAAGAGGGATATGTACCCCAGTGGAGAACAAACCCATTGCTAGGAGCTTTACTGCAAAGCCTGTACTAAGGCTTACTTCTCTAAAAGAGGTAGTATTCTCCATGGTGTCTTATCTGCACTCTAAGCAGTACTCTAAGCCTCCTCCGCACTGAATTACACAGCACTCATTAAAGCTACTGAAGTTGCAATATCGAAATGAGGCATCAGATTCCAAAACATTTAACATTAAAGATATTTCATGCTTAAAAATATTATAAGAATAGAAAGCGTAGCATGAGCTGAACTAATTGAAATGTTATTTCATGGGAAGAAATCCAACTAAATATATTTTTCCTCAATTTGTAAATCCAGCAGGCACCACTAAATGAAAAACTCTAAATTTAAACTACGTACTTGGTAAATTAATCAAAAACCATTACAGAACAATGTAAGAAATAGCCTCCAAAAGTACAAAAATTAATTGCAAGTGTAAAAATACTAAAAATACATTAGAAACATACCTGAGTTTTATTAAAATGTACCATTTCTCATACTGTTGATTATTAATGCACTTTCTTTTTTAGCAAATATTCTGTCTTTCAATGAAATAAAGGCTTCTAAAGCATGAATGAATCCACTGTGTGTGCATTCTTTGCATATATCCCATCTTCTGTGTATCCTAGGAAACCTTCAATCATTGCTCATCCTATGTGGAAGGGCATCCATATTTCTCTAATGGATAAAACCATCTAATTCCACACCAAGTCAGTTTAGAAGAACTACTGAAGCAAAATAGTTATCTTCTACAGGAAGCTTGTGGAAATTAATTTAGAGCAGTAATTTGGACATCTACCAAATGCAGATGAAACAGCAACATCTAGGATTAGTAATAGCTTTTCACATGTGGTCAGTCACAAAATCCTTCTCTGTTCTTGCTAAA